AGTCAATTGAATTTACACTCACAATCAATCAATACATGTCAAAAATAGAATCCATACGACATTTGTGCACAGACAGGCACTATGATTTGCCGGAACTAGTAAAAGGTTTTACATCGATTTTAATATATTTATAAATACTCAATATACCTACAGCTTAGTTTTATATCCATTATTATTCAAGTGTGCACTATTTTAACTTATAATATCGATGAATACTACTAGAAAATCGCTTTCATTTTGTTTTTAGGTGATTGTTAGATTCACATTTCATTTTATATATGGATTATAAGGAATAAATCGACATGCATTTCATTGATAATCTTTAAAATTTGTAGTGGGCCCATTCTCCATAGAAAAATTGATTGTCTCCTTTCGTTATCACATATCGTTACTTCGTGGTTTGTTCTGGATTGTTCTCCATTAATAATTGTTTTTTCGTCAATAATATATTTATGAAAAAAAATTAAAAATCTGCCTTATAGTTAGCCCCCCCCACTCCAATTTATAATTTATGTCGTTATTATTAGTCTTTTTATATTCACTAATGTTTGTTCTGTGATAAAATAAGTTAGTTCTATCAAAAATATATCCATTATTGGTTATTATTGGGTAGGTAAAATAGCAGCTTAATGCTGCTGTGTTTCGTATGGTGATTGTAGAGAACTGGAACCCTTATTACTGGAAACGAGGCATTCCATCTTAGTCCTCACGGGTGACAACGCATTTGCATTTTGATTTTAATCGAGGATAGATGTAGATGTCTATGACCCACGGCAACCACTTACCATGAAGTGGACTGTGTGCTCATTTGTCACCTTATCCTATAAAAATATCCCGTCCCAATCGGTTGATCTATAATGCCAAACAAAGCGTAAACTTGCAGAGCGCAACTGCAATGGGACCGTGAGTACTCCGGATCAGACAATGGTCCGAAGAGCCAAGAGGAGCATTGACGGAGACCAGATATCCGTCCGGATGAAAGGTCAGCAGAAGATCTAACAGGAAAGGTACATGATCTTCCACATCTGGGATCCGCGTAGGCAAGGTAGCCAGTTGTGTCAGACCATATGCCAAAGCAAAGTCATAAACAAATCTATCTGCATGATCTGTTAAACGGGACCAACCAATTCAGCATGGTGGGCGTTAAAATCACCAAGCATCACGATCTCTGCGGATACCTGTTGTAGTACGGAGTCTGCAGCCATTTGGATGTGGTCGATGAGTCCATCTGTGTCGGCATTACCGCTAAGGGACCTATAGAGGCACCCGTAGACGCGGGGATAGTCGTAGCTGTCTACGCGCAGCCATAGGATGGACAGATCCGTACCTTCAAGACTTCCGAGGCGTCGAAAACAGACGTCCTCTCTGAGGTTCACGCAAACTCCAAGCCGGGGCACAAAGGAGTGTTCCAATTTGTACCCCGGGTGGGAGAGATACGAAGTATCCGCCGGAGAGGACACATGTATCTCAGTTATAAAGATCAAGGCCGGCTTCGCGGTTTTCAGATGGTAGTGAACGGCATTATGGTTTGATGAAATCCCCTGATGTTGCAGAAATTCACCTCTAACGTGGCAGACTTAGTCTCGAGTGGAATTTCGTCCACTTCACCCCTAGAATACGCTGAGGAGCCTGAGCACCCACGGTACGGAGGAGTAAAATAGCTTAGGCGTGGATGCTCAGCGAGGGATTCTCCGTCCCCAGAGGTGCTGTTACCCTCCTGGGGTAGTGTTGTTTTTAACTCCACAACCGTGATAAGGGTAGGGGGAATTGGGCCTCCGGTCGCTTGCACTCACCAGACAAAATGCTTAACTGACTTGCAGGTCTTCTGTGAGGTCGTGGTACCATCCCAGTTCGGCCTATACGTCTAACAGCAAAAGCTATCGTGTGGCTCTACCACTGATATTAATATATATATATATATATATATATATATATATATATATATATATATATATATATATATATATATATATATATATATATATATATTCCTACTTCCATTTACAATTTTCAGATATCTTTATCGAATTTATCGTCTACTCTATTTTTCTTTGTAAAGCTATTTGTTTTGATGTATATATCTTATATTTATATGACCTTTTTGGTGAATGTTAGATGTGTTTTTTTTTTTAGATTTAATATGTGTTCTTAAAAACCTGTAAATCTTTGACCTCTTATAGAATTATAAGATCCTCTTATAAAATCGAAACGAGGTACTCAGCAAGCGGACCAGATACCAATTACTTGGTAAGCTAGACGTCACTGCTAGTCACGTCTTCCGATAACTATCCACCAATAGTTTAAAAAAATTAACAAAAGAGGTTATCCTGATTAACTTCTTTCTGAGTGAGAAACCTCATTTTTAAATGAAAATTTTATTTTATCGAATAATAGTGATAATCCAACACAGTGGATAAGTGGATGGTGTCAATAGCTCATAAACATTTACGCCTATCGTCTATCCTCAATTATGAATCAAAATGCATTTGCTATTGCATTTGCAGTTGCTAACGCAACCCTGAAAACGATATAAAAAGACGGAATGCCTCGTTTGCAGTAAAAAGGGCCTCCAGTTCTCTACTCACATCATAAGAAACTGCTGGTATTCTGTGATATCGTGGTCCTTTTCTGGTCAGCAAACCTAGTTGTTGTTACAACCATAATATAACTGCAGCATGGCTCTATCGTGAAAGAACACAGAAACTGTTTTTTAATACTCCAGCCATGTAGTGACTGACATAACTACTAAACAACTACTCCATATTATCCTGAGTATCGCAAGGGGCAATAAAGGAAAATTATGATAGGAGATGGGCAGGAGCTTCGTCTTAAAGTTAAAGTTACAGCCTCTATACGTCTCACTGCTGTGCACAGGCCTCCCCTCATTCCTGAGAAAGTTTTAGGGCAAGGAAGTGTCCGCCGGGCTACTTCACATGTTTGCAAAACATTTTTTATTTCTTATTTGTCAGATATGCAGGGTTTTTCGCGATGTTTTCTTTCACCGCCTAGCACGTGGTAAGGAAGCTCTTAGAATTGCAATTAACAATTTCATTGGTGCCGGCGCGGATCGAACCTGGGTTGCTCACGTACTATGAAATTTACAGCTAAATAACAACTAAATAATAAAAATCTGTAAAATCTGCCTGTCAGACGTGGGGACTATGCCAAACATGATCAACACCACTAAAAACGGCCTCAAGTTCCTGGTGCCCCGCTATTCTTAGCATCAGTGTTGACAATAAGTAACTGGGGGGAGGGGGTGGCAAGGTTTCCGGCAGTGGTTCGGTTGCCACCTTTGACGATACGACCAGGAAATATTTAACGTTCGTATCCCGGCAATTGACGAGAAGATTGTGCAGCTAAAAGAAGATATAGAGCAGAAATTGCGCTAGAGTATTCCTTAAATCCGGTAACTTGTTTTATAGCAGAGAGTGACTAACTGCCTCAAGGAATTCCGTATTTATCATCCACAAGGTTTTCTTTAATAACGTAGTCAAGATAGGAAGGAGTAGACAACGGTTTATTAATTTCTATTTATAACCACCAGACTTTTACGTAGTTTGGAGGCGATGTGAGAGAGACTTTAGCGTCATAATAAACATCAGAAATTTGGAATAGGGCAACGGAGAAAATTGGAATTGGAAATTGGAATATGGCAAAAAAACCCAAGGAGTCAATAGCTGGATGATTTTATGGAGAATAAGGGACTCGATCCAGCCCCGACGTTTCGACAAAAATTAAGATTTGCTTCATCACGACAACAAAGCAACAAGTGTTCAAAGATATATCAGTGATCGCGGGGTTGCCCCTCCCTTCAAACCCCTCACCGATTGGTGGGAGGAATCATAACTTAACGTTAGGATCCAGATAATAACCCTAAATATGAAAGGTCACGTTTATTAAAATCATCGCTTCCGAAAAGGTTCGAAAACTTTTAGCTCGAAGATAATTTAAACACACATTTTCAATTATCAATTACTAACTTTCAACCGTAGCTCCGCATGCGCTTAATTTCTAAAACAAATTGCAAATCGAGAATCTAAAAACTGTATCACGAAGTGGGGCTTTCAACACATAACGTTATTACCTAATCACGCACAGTCAAATGAAAAAAGTGAAAGGGCCGTGCAAAACAATAAAAAATATTTTAACCCTTCGATCCCCATAAAAATCCGATGCAGTCGCATGCGCCCGGCAAATCTCGAGCGGTCGCATGCAACCACACTCACCCGCAGCACTTAAAACTATTAAAAGATATATTTAGAGACTGCTTTTCTATGAAGAAGTTTGGCATTATAAAATCTATACAAAATTCTCTATATAAAAGTCAGGTTTTACTTCATTACAAAAAGACTGTTGTATTTTGATAACAAAAACAAAACATACCAAGCGAATGTCGGTAGCGTGAAAATCACAATTATTTCAATGTGTATTACTCGAAATTTTAATTAATTAAATTGTACGAATTTCGTAAAACATGTGTCACGAAGTTATGACATTTTTAATTTTTACCCTAACTTATTTTTATCTCATGATGTAGCCTAAACGAAATGAAAAATTTCAAGGAGTTAAGGACCAAATATTTAATAAATAAAATATTCGTCACGGGTCACGATAGATCATAAAGATACATTTAATGAAGAGTTATATGACAGTATCATAAGTTGCGTCTAAATAACTCACAAGATTTTTGTCAAGTACCTAGGTACTTTTTAAACAAATGTCCAATTTGTTAATAGTTTTTTGTATTTGGACCATCTAGTATAGTTAACTCAGCTTATGAATCCGTATTAAATCTAAAACGGGAACAAATATATACGTATTTGCGCAATCGTCAAGAGGTTATCGTTCACGTTATAAGACATACGTTTATTAAGTCATGGTTAAACAGTTATCTAGAAATCTCGCAAAAGGGAACGAGATTCTTGTGTAAATAGTTGTGAAATATGTTTAACAATATGATATTTCTTTCGATCGGTCTATGGTTTATGTGCCTAGTAATGGCAACAGGAAAATCTCGCGATCCATTTGTTTTAGATGAACGTTTCGTATGCAACATAAAGCGCTCTTGTGTAGAATGTTTACGATTAAGTCACTGTTCTTGGTGTGAAACTGAAAGTAAATGTTATTGCAAGCAACTTCCGACCTTCCAAGACTACTGTAAGAACGCTACAATAGATTATAAGGACTATGAATGTAAGTGTTAATATAAAGTTTCCTTTTACTGGTCATTTGTAAATAAATTTGGAATCAACATATTATAATCATAATTTATCGTAATTTTTGTTAATAATAAAATAAAATCGTTATTTACGGGTTAATCTGCTGTTATTATTAGACTTACACGTGTAGTAGCGACGTGAGAGATTCCACTACCCCATAACAACCGGTGAGGTTCGTAAGAGGTGACAGGCGGAAACTGAATCTGGAGATAGGCAGCTGAATCTTTCTGAAAACAGCTTAATAACTAATGATTATGGTTGCCAACTCACATGCTAAGCATGGCAACTATGGAATATATCTATATCCCCCCTACGTGAGGTACAAATAAGAAACGTCCTCGGCGGCCCTGTTGTTCTTGAGTCTGGTGGCAGTCATGTAAACGGTGGGGTAGGGGATGTGAAGACACTCCGGCGGAGACTCGAATTCAACTCGATGGACCCTACAAAGTATATCCGCACGTAGGTACATTAAGGCTAGAAGATATTCTAGTGCTGGTGAAAGAGATGGACAATTAATGCATGTACTCTGAGACAGTGAAGTGTCATAGAATTATCTTAAGTCAAAAAACAGAGATAGAATACAGGAACCATACAATCCGATGGCTTGTTCTATCACCGAGAGAACGATCATCTGTCCTAAGAAGGTGCCGGATTTACATCGTTCACAAGTTTCTCGTTAACAACGTTGTGAAGATCGAGTGTGTCGACTAGGGTTGCTACTTTATAGTTAAAATTACCAAACGGCGTTTGCTGAAGATCTTGTAAGAGGTTTACGCACTAACCGTAGCACATGGTAAATAAGAGGAGGCGGCGATATATGAGGATATCTCAAGAGCTTTATGTAATGTTGGGGAATGAATAAGACACAATGTAACGTTCGATTGACACCTTGTTTAATTCGAGACTGTTCTAGGCCCCGCTCTAACAGTGTTTCATATAGTAACATGTATACACAAATACGTTGCTATTTATCACACACTACACTTTACATTCCTCAGAGTAAGCGACATAGCTTATTGGATAAAGTAAGGTGCAGTAGTAATGAGCCGGCCATAAAGTTTAAAGAGCCGACAACCAATGGTGAACAAAGATTTTCGAGTGAGAGCCACATACTAATAAGTGCAGTGTCTAGAGTAACGAGTGGCTCAGGATTGTACATTGTGACAATCTATGGGAGAGGCTATGTTCGACAGCGGACTTGTGATGGGCTGTGACCTGTGACTATGATGAACAATGAAATATTATTAGACTTAGGCAAGTCCTGGCTCAAATAAATACAGATTTTCGTTCGTTGTAGCACTTTACAGTACTTGCGAATAAATATAATGTGCATCAGCAAACATCAAAAACAATCGTATTGTAAATTAAACAAAACCAGTCGTATTTTTTTTATAGAAGAGAGGGCAAACAAGCACACGGTTCACCTGACGTTAAGTGACTATCGCAGTCCATGAACAACCGCAACACCAGGGTAATTGCAGGTGCGCTGCCGGCCCTTTAGAAAGGAGTAAGCTCTTTTCTTGCAGGTCCCCAGGTCGTATCAGTCCGGAAAAATCTCCAGTGGTAAATTATTCCACAGAGAGGTCGTACGCGGAAGAAAACTCCCAGTGAAAAAGAAATTTCAACCTTATCACAAATTAATAAATGTCAATATCATTTCTAAGAACAGCAATTAGTTGCAAGCCACGGCGCACCAAATAATACACTTGTGTAGGACATGATGCGTCCTACGCCAGCTTTGTAAAGATGGAGCTTGTGTCTTAGGGACAGTTTGCTCTTGCTGTTAACTAAGTGGTGGAGATAACTAGTGACTATTTTGGCACGGTTGCGAACGGAGCGAATATGTTTCGCGAAGGTTAAGCCGTGGTCTAAAGTGACCCTAGATATTTGGCCGCTGTTTGCCAGGGAATCTGGCGGCTATATATGATCGTACCTATCGATTTCATGGGATTTGTGTTTTGGCGATTCAGTTACGATTATTTTAAGCGAATTATCACGATTAGGTTTGAATGAAGCAAGGATATGCGCCAGGAGGGGGGCAGGGAGGGGCAGTTGATAGTACTGAACTAGAACCAGTAACCGACATAACCCAATAATAATAATAATAATAACTTTCCACGGCTGGACGCGCTACTGGACAAAATAGTGCTATCCCAGCCTGGAGAATAAGAATTGAAGAACGTATCGCAAAGGCTAGGGCCCTCATCGACAGACTGATATGCTTCAGGTCAGGCAATACCAGGCAAAGGATTGTCCGCACCGTCAGGATGGCGTTTGCTGGGACAAATGTTAGTTTGTCCCAGCCGGATATAATGCAAAAACTGACGGAGGGCATAGACGATCTGAAGCAAAGAATCGCTGCTTGGGGAAAGCGGATTCGGAGATATACCGAGAGGTCGACACGGTTCAACCAGAATCGTCTCTTGCAGAGTGATCAGAAGAGGCTCTATAAATTATTGGAGCCACTAATAGTAAGTGGAACGGGCCCAGCACCAAATCAGGCCGAAACGGTCGCATTCTGGCACAGCCTGTGGTCAGAGCCCGTAAACCACAACGAGGGCCCTTGGACGGAAGTTGTGGCGAGTCAGTGTGCGGGTATTACGCCCATGGACCCCGCCATCATAACGCCGGATGACGTAGCTGAGGCGGTCTGTAGGGCCCCGAACTGGAAAAGTTCAGAGCTTGACGGGCTGCATCACTACTGGCTGAAGGGATTCATGGTGTGTCACGCTGTGCTCGCCCGACAGTTTCAAGAGGCTCTCAACCAGAAGTCGCTCCCAAGCCTCTTCACTACTGGGATCACTCATTTGGTTCCTAAAGATCAGGGTGCCACGGACCCGAGCAAATACCGCCCCATCACGTATCTACCGACTATATACAAGACACTTACATCCATTTTGAGCGCGAGAATCGCTCGTCACCTGGACTCAAATCAGGTGATGTCTAAATGGATGTCGGGGCGGCGGTCGTGGAACCAAGGAACCACTCCTCATTGACGCGGTCATTGGCAAAGTGATGAAGCGCAACCGTCGTAACTTCTCCGCCGCCTGGATAGATTACAGAAAGGCATTTGACACGGTGCCCCATACATGGCTAAAGAGTGTCCTCGAGCTGTACAAGATTGACTGTACAGTTCGAGACTTCCTCGAGCAGTGTATGGGACAGTGGAGTACGATTCTCTGTCATCTAGGCGAGCGGAGTGACGGCTGCGGAAAGCCGCATAAGGATAAGAAGGGGTATATTTCAGGGCGACTGTCTAAGTCCAATCTGGTTCTGCCTCTCTTTGAACCCTCTCAGTACTTTACTGGAAGGCTCCGGGAATTTTAGCTTTCGGAAAGGAGGTACAACAGTGACCCACCTTTTCTATATGTGTATGACCTCAAATTTATTCGCCTCCAGTCACTCCCATCTTGTGAAATTGCTAAACAGTACATTTTGAATTAAGCAATCTATTACAACCACCTTGTCCAAAAACATCGTATATTTGCAATCAATACATGTGGCTTATGTAACTTATCTTAATATTTTTTCTAGGTAGGTAGTTTACATCCTTCAGTCTCTTGGCAGAAGGTAGTTACCTACTAGAGAGGTACGATTCAAGACCATGGCATGGCTGTTGTTCAAACAACAAATAATCAGCAAATACTTGACCTAAATTATTGGGGCCATCATTAGAATGTGTGGAGCAATATACTTTAATTAGCCTCTTGTGTAGGTAAATACAAGTTTAAAGACTAATATACATAATATTAGGAATACAAATAACACAATACTCATGATTATAAAATTATTTATTCCTTGTTTTGTTTGTAATCATTACATTTTTATTCTTCATGTTTCGTCATTTTCAATTAAAATTAAATCTTTGTGACTTAGAGTAGACATCAATTTTGATGTATTTTGTAATTTTCTTATAATGGCAGTAATTGCTGGGATAATTTTTTTTAATTTCCTCAGAGGTTACACCACTTCCAAAGGGTCTGTATCGTCCAGTTTCGCAATTGGCTTAATTCTAGACAAATATTTTTTTAACAAATGCTCACAAGTCACATCACACAATCACAAGCGAAGTAATACCTGCGATTTGATACAAGCAATGTATACTTAACTTAAATATTATACAAAAGAAAATAAAGAAAGAATTAGAATAATAGAAAAAAATAAAAACAAGGCAGAAATACGCTTAAAATAAATATAACAAATATTATAAATGACATATTGTTTAACAAAAATTATTAACAGTTTAGCAATATAATAAACAAAAGGTAAAAGAAAGTATAAGTTAATGTAAATCTACTTAACCTTAAAAGAAGTTTATAGCTAGTATAGTTTATAGCTTTATACTATCGTACAAAGATGTTTTATAAAACATCTTTGCTATCGTATATTATCTATGCGCGGGGATAAGTTTATCTACTGTCGATATTATATCCACCATAGGCCCATGCTCGCAGGGTGGATAAAGCTTTGACATAGGAATAAGTCAATTTTATCCCTTGTCAGTGGATATAATCGGTGGATAAAATTTTTATCCCCCGCTCATGCTAGCCCGGCTGGACTCAAATCAGGTGATGTCCGCGCTAAATGGATGTCGGGGCGGCGGTCGTGGAACCAAGGAACCACTCCTCATTAACGCGGTCATTGGCAAAGTGATGAAGCGCAACCGTCGTAACTTCTCCGCCGCCTGGATAGATTACAGAAAGGCATTTGACACGGTGCCCCATACATGGCTAAAGAGGGTCCTCGAGCTGTACAAGATTGACTGTACAGTTCGAGACTTCCTCGGCAGTGTATGGGACAGTGGAGTACGATTCTCTGTCATCTAGGCGAGCGGATGACGGCTGCGGAAAGCCGCATAAGGATAAGAAGGGGTATATTCCAGGGCGACTGTCTGAGTCCAATCTGGTTCTGCCTCTCTTTGAACCCTCACAGTACTTTACTGGAGGGCTCCGGGAGGGGATTTCAGCTTCGGAA